AGGTCGCAAGGTGGTAGCGGCAGAGCCCGCTTTAAATACCGTCTTCTGAGCGGTGTAAAGCGTCTACAGCTTGCTGGTGGCTGGTAGCATCTTCTCAGCACGCGTTTATCTCACGCACCCCCCAAAAACCCCCAAAACAGTATGTGTCTTCGCAATAGAGCTGTTGTCCCTTTGATGTTTGGCTGTGCGACGATTCCCATACAGTGCAAACAAATCGGAAAGCGCTAGTGTTCACGTGTTCGGACTATAAACAGCAAGGGCTGCACCAGTTTTGCATTTAAAGGGTTGTTCTGGTCCAAAGGAAGCTTTCTCTTCCAGTGGAGAAATGCGAAACTTTGACAGTGTGCCTGGGACGGGGCATTTTATTGCTGCTGCAATGAAAGTTAACGGCCTGTTCTCTGGTGAGATTTCAGGCCTCTTCCTGTGCAACTTCCCACCGAAGTGAAGTTACGCAGACACCGGCAGAAGTATGCTGCCGATTCTTTAGGGATACAAATAAACATAAACCTTGAACAAACATGGCAAGAAACTCCAGGTTTCTCATCCGTCTTACTAGGACTTGAGGACTGACTGATGCACATCTTTTTACCTGAGTGTAAAGCCAACACGCTGATTAAGCAAGGCCTGATGTAATTTTTAATGCCATGATGTGATGGATGCATCTGTAAAGAATGCAGGAAACAATGAAATAAATTGGCTTCCAAAATTAAAAACAAAGAAACCACCTTTTTTTTCTAAACCTTGAGGTATTTTTATGAATAATTGAAAATACCAAAGGAAATACCATGTTTCAGTGAAAGAAAATTTATTAGCTCCTTTAAACTTCTGAACCTTAATCCTTTACGATAATATTCTTCTTCCTAAAGCAGTGATATAAGTGGCGTCTGCATCACTAGTTTGGTGTTTATAGGGATGTCCTCAGCTGTTGGAGGGCAGACCGAGAACTAAAATCTTGGCAGTGTATTATGTTCACCTTTGGAAGGAACACTGTACTTGATATATTTGTTTGATGTTTTTCCATAGCTTGCTTATCTCCTATAGCTATCTGGGTACTTATACTGCTGAAGTATTCTGCTATAGAAATGTGATTTCATCACTGAAACATCATTTGTGGCACTTCATTTGTACAAGGCCAGATAATTACTTACAGAAACTGTCAAGCAATTCATACTGTAAAGGTGACCTTTTTCTCTTGTCCATAAAAAGGTTATGGATGTGAGAATTGCAATTACTTTTTAGATGATATGGAGAAGCTTTATTCTGTGGGGTATGTTCAGAGAGCAGTAGCTCTCTAGTTGAAATGACGATTTCTCTATTACCAGATTACTAATGTTTATGCTAATATACTACTGACATTGCTCTGGAGAGCCACCTTTCCCAGCATGCAAGTGACTAGATGACAAAGAATACATAATCTATTATGCCATCTGTCTGTTGGAGATTTATCAAACTACCTGAGAAGTAATTGATATTTATGATGATTTTGTGATTTTCACGAGGTACTGAATTAGGGTTCATCCAGCATGCAAGTTTGCCTCGTTAATTTCTCTTAAGATTTCTCATGTAAGGAAAGTTAAAAGTTTCAGACCATTGCATTTATTTTTTACGACATTGTTTTCTGTATGTAGTGAAGACACTTTGCCATACAGTCCCCTCCGTATATATTGTCAATGTCTCAGTTCTCCAGTATTACAGCACAACTTTTGCCATTACGCTGTAGGTGTATTTACATAATTTACAATTTTTTTACAATTACAATTTATTTTTTGTTAGAAGAATAAACGAAAAGCTCTTAATTCTTGTATTTTTACATGTTTATGGGGTTTAATGTCACCTATATTTAAATTGTGTTTCCCTTCTTCTCTTTCCTTTTCAGTCTTGCTCCATGGGTACCAGTTGTGGGTCTGGAAATACATGCACAGATCAGTTCCAACTCAAAACTTTTCTCTGGTTCCCAAGTCCAGTTTGCAGCACCTCCTAACTCTTTGGTATCTTTCTTTGATGCTTCTTTACCAGGAACTTTGCCAGTAAGTTATGCTTCAACTTAATTTATGTCAGGATTAATGTCAGACAACTTTGAGTATGTTTTTAATATTTTGTTCTTCCCAAGATTTGGCTAAAATACTTTTACGTATTTTTCTATTTTCTGGTTGTTTGATGACATGAGGTGCCTAGTACTGTTTCTTTTCAGTTTACTCACTCCCTAGTTATCATTACAGATACTTGATATCCTCTGCAAAGAAAAAAAATGAGGAGTGTCTCTTCAACATATTGAATGAATCGCAGTATTTCTCTGAGGCCAGAGTGGGTGTATTTGGTTAGTATGCCACACAGGAAATTCCTTAAATATGAGAGATACTTAAAATCCTATGAGAGAAGAACATCTTAGATTTCCGAGTGGCCATTTGATGTTACTTTGCCATATGTTTGTTTATGTAGTTGTCATTTGCCATTTGGAATGTCTCACTATGGAGGTACTTTGCTTCCTAAGTAGATAGTCTCTGATTTAGGGAAGTGTCAAATATTCCGATTTCCAGGGCAAAACACTTATTTAAAAAAGAAAAAATGCAGCCTGTGTGAGACGTTGTGGACTAGTAAGTCAGAACAGCTAGCTAGCACTTAGCAATGAGATTTATTGGTGACAACATAATAAACTTTTGAAGTCACAGCTTAATTATAACTTTGCGATAGCTGTGACAGTACTGCTGTGGAATTCTATTGGAATCTAACAGGTTTAATATAAAACTAACAGTTTAAAATGTATAACATAAGCTCTTACTATACAGTGAAAATAAATATTGAATAGACTTCGCATTGCCTCATGCAACAAGCATGCAGAGACTATAATGGGTTCAAATTATTTAGTGCAAAAGTGTTTCACTGAGTATATTTATTAGAGTGGAGGTTTGAATTCCAGTTGCAGATACATTTTTTTAATCTGTTGGAAGTTTTCCATCACCATAATACAGCCTTAAATAATATCCTGAAATTGAGAATTAACTTATGGCTGGATTTCCAGGGTCTCAATATATGCCGTGTGAACCTTAAAAAGAGAAATGAGTTGATAGATTCATTCTGTCTTTTGCAAAGGTATTGAAACCTAAGGAAGTGAAGCTTAGATGCTGATAAAATTTGGACTTCACTCTGGTCTTAGTGGCAATTCAGGGCTGCATTTCAGATCTAACTACATGGAAATTTTGAAAACTTTCCAGAGAGCATGGGAATCTTATGCAATCGTTTGGTTTTAGAAGAATCTAGTTAGACTTAAACATGGAAAATTAGTTCCTTGCATTTAGAGGCAGGGCTAGGTTAGGGAGTTAATAGTCACAAAATTTAAAAGGGTTCAAGATTTTGGTTTTAGACCTTCTATTTAACAGTCTGTTAATGCACAGAAATCCTGGTAAATTCTCTAATGCTTATCTTCAGTCAAGTAGCAAAACTGTTGTTGAATGAACAAAAATGAGTATTTATGAAGAGTTTCATTTTTATGTACATTACTATTTATTTGAAGGGGGTGGGGTTGGCTTTTTCCTCCATTAAAGTGCTTTACAGATGAGCGTTGGTATGACCTTTGTGAGAAAACCCCAGTACACATGAGCTTCAGCAGAGAATATAACTGCACCTGAGAAGCAAAAAGCAGGATGGTTAGGTTAATTTAAAAGTAGCGATGCTATGTTAGTTTCTACCAGCTGCTTTTATCTATACAAAGAGAAGAAAGATTTTTCTCACTGTACTGGTGAAAATATAGTTGAAAGTGAATGTTAAAAAATCCATGTTCTTGCATGTTAGAATGTGATACAAAGTGCAGTCAGTAGTCATAGCTTTATTTTCCCATTGTACTTGCTTCACAGGAATTAAGGTTAGAGACCAATGTTTGTTCTGGAATTAAACACTTTGGCTTATTTTCTTGAAATAATTATATATGTTTGTATATGGCAATAGTATCTGAAATGGAATTGGATTTTGGTGGATTTTGAAAGATGGAACGTAGTTTTTGAAAATTTCCAAGTATTTTTAAAAAAAAAAAAAAATTTTAACAAATGTTAAGATTATTGCCTAATAAGTTTCTTTAGAGGGTAAATATTTGGCCTTTCCTTTTGATTCTGTTTTGTTGAGAAACAAAAAAAATAGCAAAGTTTTAATACAGTAGTTGTGCTGTCTGTAGCAGAGAACAACTGCTGTTATAAACTGAGAACTATAGGGGAAGTTTTCAGTGTCACAGGGATTTAAATTTACTGTGGGACCATGAGATGCTAGTATTTGCTGCTTCACGACAAGACCAGAAGGAATGGTGCTAAAGGGAGCTTTCTGATTGCTATCCATTTCTGGGTCACTAATGAGTGTGGGTGTGAGCCTCTGCTGTGCTCTGCATAGGAAAGGGGAAGCTAGAAGAATGTGTTTAGCCCTCCTCCATCTTTCCTCTTTATATTTTCTTCCTATACTGTAATGCAGCTTATTTTATGCTTCTGCTGCAAGTAGACCTTACGAGGACCATGACAGTGTTAGTGTCATGGCCATTTCACTGTGGTGCTCTCATAATGTGCCTCTGAGAGGCAGCTGCAGGCAAGAACAGCTGTGCAGGTGCACTCCTGTTTGGCATGAGACAGAAAAAATGATGTGGCAAAGCTTTGATTAAAAAAGTAGATTTAGAGGTAGTGAGACTGGACAGCACATCCCATGCTACTCGGCACACTGTTTGTGCTCTGTGGTGATGGAGCCACTCACTGCTAGACCAGCTAGCATCTTACTCAAGTTACTGTAAGGATCTCCTTTCTTTGGGACTACGTATGACTACATATATTGCATTTCATGCAATGAAATGCGCGAAGGCCTGGGTTTTTTTACCTGGTGAACGGACTTGGCAATGATCTTAGCTTGGTGTCTTTAGAGGACCTGTTATAAAGGAAGTTTTATGCTACACATGGTGGCATGTAGTGCGCCATATCTGCAGATTCATCTAAAAGTCTTCTGAGGATCCATAGAGGTGGTTGCACTCCCAGTCTGATTTATCCTCTTTGAAAATTCTCAGAATCTTAATAAAGGTTTACAAAGATAAGACAGGGCTCACAGAAAGAGAATCCACGGTTATCTATTCTCATGACTGAGGTGGCTGACTGAAGGTTAATTATAGCTCAGCCACAGAAATAAGATGGTAGATCTAGTAGCTAAAGGCTGAAACCTTTTGTCTGTGCTTACAGTCTTTGTTGCTAATCACACAAAAAAATGCACATTTTACGTTTGTCTCCTGCATGACTAAAGTGAAAGCCTGATCCTATTTCTTTGTCAGCAAGTGTACTAAGAAATAATCTAGGATTTACATAACTAAGGTTTAAATTAATAAGATTTGAACGAATGTTAGCCCTACAGTCTTAAGTATTTTGAAATTTTTGACACCTTCTCATGCATTTGAATTTCATTCTCTTCACAGTGTGAACAGCATCTGGTTTTTTTTCTTTTTTTTTTTTTTAAGATAGAGTTTTCGGAAACACGTAGTGATGACCAAATTCTTTCTGATTAAGTGAAGATAAATACCTTCTGACCTCAAGAAACAGAGTAGGATTTGTAGTGAACATTGCTGTAGAATATCGTGTGAGATGCATGATTTTATCCAAATATACAATTTTTTTCCTGCTCCACTGGACATCCTTGAGGGCTTGACAACTCACTATTGCTGCTATCCTGTACTGAGATTTTTCATATCCTCTTGTTTTAAACTCCTTTAGTTTTCCCTCTGTAAAGTGTTAGAAGGAAGCATTTGGGTCCTACTGTATCTTCTGTCACCTGTATGACAGTTGGGCAACCAGATCCGCTTTTTCATGGAAGAAAGCAGGGCTAGAACAGCTATTATCCCTTGTTCCTTCTGGTATTGCACCACTGGCAACTTAAAATCCAAACTCTGACTTCTCCAAAGCTGAGGAATGTCACTGCAACACTGTGCAGTACCAGAGAGCACGTACATCATGCTGTTGCCTTCCCTACCCTACAGTGCTGCGCTGTTGAGGTGGCTGCCCAGGGACGTGACAGGGTTAATACCCAGTTTGAGGATGTAGAGGGTGCTTTAGTTCTCCTTCCTGTATTGACACTGCATCCATCCTTGGCAATGGCAGATACCCAGTCTTTTTCCGGCTGTCTTGGGTGATAGATTATCAGACTTTATGATGAATTTTACATGTTACTAATATACAGAATTTACCTGATGCATTTGCTTTCAAAGGCACTGAGAGGTTTGTGTGAGATTTTTGGTGGACATGTCTGTCAGCTGTACATACTGGAACAGAAACAGAGTTTGAGACCAGAATTTATACTTTACAGCTTGAAACTAGTTTTTTTGATACCTTGTGCCTGTTAAAGCTGGTGATTGCAACAGCTGCTTTACCAACTTGTGATTTCAGTTTTGT